ATTGTATAATGTTTATCAAAAGTTGTTGTTTGAGAAGAAATTGAAGTTTTTGTTTTGTTTCTTAATTATTATTGCTTGAAATTAATTATGGAAAAAAGGGGCAGATATTATAAGATTTTTCTTCTGCCTCCTTTCATTTCAATTTGGATTTGTATTTTTTTAGTAGAACTGTAGAAGTAGTTGAAAACAATCTTTACCAAATTCTAAATGCTAATCAGAAATTAAAGATGGCCCCCACAGCTAATGTTAAAATATTTTTAATTCAGCAATTTCAAGGCTATGATTAAATTTATTATGGAATAGGTAAGAATGATCACATGCCAATTGCTGATGTTAATCCCAAATGAATCTAACCACTAATGCGTTAATTTTAAAGAAGAGCTGTAATTTAGCCATTTTTAAACATACACAGCTGAAAATGTATACAGTACAGTATTATCAGAGAACGATATTTAACAAAAATCCAAGATCTCCATCCACGTTCCAATTATTTGGGGGTGGCAGCTGGGGTGGCCATCCCTCTGGCTCCGCCCCTGATACCATGTTGAAAAAAATTGCAGTACAGCCAGAAGTTGAGTGTTCACAACAATGAGGCTGGGATTCATTTTATAATGATAAAGTCAAATACTGTACAGTAACCTTTATCCTTTATCTCGGTTTTAGCTTGTTATATTTTCATTCTCCTTTACTTTGACAAATACAAAAACAAAAAAATACATATTTTATTATTACAATCAATGTCAATTACTAAATGTAATATAGATATGTAATTATTTATTTAAACAATTTTGTGAAAAAGAGTAAATTGGTGAATTTTGTTGAGAGTATGAGTGAGGTTAGTGTAATGTAATGGGTGTAATGGGTGTGTTTTTGTTCAGTCTTATTGCATTTAGTTGATCTCACCTCCAAATATAACTGAAAATTACATTAAATTATTTAATAACCCAATGCATAACTGGGTTAAACAACCTAAATATCTGTTATCTTCTGCAAGAGTGTTCCACAAGATGCTGATTTCTTACCCTATCATGTGGGGTCTGATTGCTGATGATAGGGTGGACTGTGTTGGCTCTGGTGTTGGGAGCTCTACGTGAGGAGGGGCTCTGGGGCCGGCTCACTGCGTTGGACTCTTGCTGTGTGGTGCGGTCCATCGCTGAAAGGGAACACTGACGCAGGTTCTTCCTGCGCTGGTGAGGCAGGCTGCTCAGACAGGACGCGGGGCTCAAAAGGTCAGGGACGAAAGCTTTCTGTGCTTTCTTCTGATCGTTCCGACAAGAAAGCGTGCTGCGAGCATTCCCCGAGCCAGCCTTCTCGGACACGTCCTTCTTGACTTCCTGTGTGGCTTTCTCTCCTTCCTCCTCAGAGTCTGAGATGGTAAACTTGGCACGCAGGACAGCGGGGTTCAGGCTGTTGGAGCGCTGTCGAGGGTTGGGCTCCCAGAAGTCTGAGCTGTGGCGGCTAGCCAGGCGGCTCTGCTGCGGGCTGCTGAACATCATCCAGTATGGTGGACAGGATGGCAGAAGTCCTGATGATGCTGAGGAGGAGGAGATGGAGGAGGAGGAGGAGGTGGGCTGAGGTCGGTGATGATCCAAGATGCTGTTTTGTAGGCCAGTTAGGACCCAGTTCTCTAGGCTGAATTCATACTGTCACATGAACAAATATCACTGTCAAAAAACATTATCCTGTCATCTGGTGAAATTTCTGTCATTTCAAAATGTTTCAATAAATCTATTTCTGAAAACAAGAACAAAGATCCAGTCAACGTCTATTCAAGAACAACAGATTGCCTTATCCTGAATGTTTGACCATCTTCACCAATATCTTCTGTTGTTATCAATATTTAAATGAATCAGCATGTAGGAATATTAAGGAAAGTACAATAAAAACTGTAATGTGATTTTGTGGGGGAAAAAAGTACTTATGATGATTTTTTTTCTATTTCTCATCATTTTGGTCCGAGCAGACTAAACACAACATACAGGAGAAAAACTGAAATATTCTGTTTTAAAGCAATTAGGTGGGGGCAAGTTCTTTTAAAACGTGGACGGCCAGATTCATGGTTYTRCTATGAAACTTTTGAGACAGAGTTGTTTTGGGATTGGCCCCAACCTGACAAGCTGATTCACCAAACTGCGACCACTCAAACTACTGTCTGCTGCAGGTAAGACACTGACCTTTGAGGACAATTCCACAGAACCACGCAAAAATCCAAACTATCCTTTTATGACATCATTGTTGAATTACTACATGTAAAGAATGGATTTTACAGGTGCAGACACTGTTGTGATTGAATTTGATTTTTCGGTCAGAGCTGTGGCAGTGAGCAGAGCAGCAGCAGCTCATGAAACAGATTTTATTGCTYTGAAAAGTCAATAAGTCCACACAGTGAGGAGAGCTGACTCACCTCTGTCTGCTGCAGGATGGAAAGGTAATCAGGCACGGTCACTTTGATGTCATCTTTAACYTCCTGTAAGGCAGGAACCTGGGGCGTCTTCAAAGGGACACCGTCCATTCTGCTCCGTCCACTGAGGGACATAGGGACAACAAGGTAATATTTAGGACGTGTTGACACGCTCGCTACCACTGAAACTTTGGGTTCAAAAACAAACAAACATGACTGCTGCAGTTAGAAACCACTGCAGTTAAACTGTAATGCATTATTCTGGTTAAAGAGAAACTTTGACTCATATTTAAACACCTCATCTTACTACATCACTCACCAACTTTCTCTTTTAGACTTTTCTTGTAAAGCTCTGTGGTGGAGACTTTATATTGAAAAGCATTGCATGATTATACAAGTACAAATTAGTTGGAAAGACTGGCCAAACTTACTATAATACATTGTTTTACTGATGTTCTAAACACTGGAAACTGATTCAGATCCGGTTAACAATAAAAACTAATTCTTACACCAAAACTCCTCATTAGTTATAGTTCTTGCATTTGAGATTTCATTAAAGAAAAACGTTCTTCTTTATCATGAGGTTCAACAGTTTGACAGGGCAGCTTTGAAGGATGAGACCACATTATGTTGGTCATGGGGTTCTTTTTTGTGTTATTGTTGAAAATGAACAACAATATCACTAACAGAATGAAAAAATGTGTGAAAAGCATGTTCACGTTAAATGAGCTGTAATTACAATTTTATTATCATGTTTTTAGATATGTTTTGTAGAGTTAAATTATTCAGCTTCCTAATGAAACACGTGCTTGATTTATGATTTTGGTTTTCTAGAGAATAAAATAAAAATATTCCAAAAGTCATTCCATATTTATCGCTAGGGGGTCACATAAAAATCAATGCACGTAGAAAAGTCACTAATCCAGTTAGATCACCGTCACTACGTCTACTCTCACTTAACACAACAGCACTGTGTGAATAAACACCCTGCACTTTGTGTTTGTGTCTTAAAGGTCCCAGATAGAATCTAGCTATGTGAGCAAATTGATCTTTTATTTTCATTTGTTGGTTTGTTTCAAAGGTCAAATGTTTCCTTCCTTCAGTCTATTTTCATTTATTAAGACACAAAATGTTCCCAGTTTGRGCTCACGGCCCTGAATCAATCCTTGAGCATGCAGCCTCTCATAGAGGAGGCACCGAATGTTAAAGTTTGATTATAAAAGTTCTGCCTGGCACATTTTAAATAACTAAGTCATGTTTGAGATGCACTTAAAGTAACCCAAATCCTAATGCATCAGCTAAAACCTTTTAGCTGAACATTCAGACATGTGAAGGAGCTCAGCTGCTAACAGAGGACCAGCCCAGACGACGTGCGCTCTGCTACGTGCACGAGTGCAGTGAGAGAGGCTGGAGACTAAATCAGATTTACTCTCCCAGAAATTCTGTCTGCCTCCAAAACAACATTTCTGTATTGGTTCGCCCACGACGAACAGTGAATCACGTGCGGGAACAGCACCATGTGAGTCTGTACTCTTGTGTCAGAACTTGTGGATATAAAAACAATAATTAAAAGAAATGAGATCTGGTCTTCCTCAGGTTCTGAGTGAAACAGATGGTCTCTGTCAGACACATGAAGTGATGATTTTGACMGTGAGTAAATATGTTCGGTGACGTCAGGACAGCCTGCTCAGCCTCGGCTCCTTCTGTCCACTCAAAGGTAATCAGTTCTTAGCTGAAAGAGGAAAACTCCGGGCAGACAGATGGTCCAGGACTTTCAGAGGCCCAGGAGACAGATGCTCCTTAATCTTATTGTGTTTCTGATGTGCTTTTACATCCAAATGCTACCGGGAAAATTCCATTGAAGTCGCAGCAGTGAAAGATTTCACTTGCAGTAACGTTTCAAATTCTTGAGCCACTTGTCATTTGTGTATATTCACATTCCGGGGGCTGTCTTTACATTAATTTAAAGTGCTCATGAGCAATATTTTCCAGGCTTTCTGAAGATCATTTAAAGTTTTTCTCAGTATGTTGTTTGCATTTTATTTTCATGCGGTAATTTTCCAAGAAACTTGATTTTTTTTCTATATGAGGTTGCTTCACACTGACCTCTGAATCACTGAGACATAAAGAAGGCCTGCCCAACTTCAGCAAAGAAAGTTTCTTATCTACACAACAGCCAACAATGATAAATCAGGCACTTTATACTGTTTGTCACAAAAACACAACATTTATTTCCTGTTTGCTAAGAAMGTTTGGCTTCTTAGAAGCAAGATATGAAACAACAAACTCTGTGGTTGAATGATAAATCGTTAATTAAGGTCTAATGGTTGGTTCTGTGCTGAAGAACAGAGTGAATGTTTAAGAATCAGAGATCTTACCTGAGTGTTGAGTTGCTGCTGTCAGTCTGTGTGTGAAGCTGAGACTGAGGCGTCACTCTGCAGGTTCAGTCAGAGTCACCTGGATTACTAATCCAGTAACCATAAACACCATCAGCTGCACCACACACACACACACACACACACACACACACACACACACACANCACACACACACACACACACACACACACACACACACACACACACACACGCACACAACAGGGTATTTCACCATCTGTATTCCAGACACTTCTACTGGAAGTAAACCTTACAGTATATGCCGACACGCCCACCACCAGTCAGTAAATACTGTGGGGCAACTGTCAAAAACAAGCTTATTAAGTCATTTTTAACAGTTTAATTTCATTCTCAATCAGTTGTTTTTGTTTTTAGATAAAGATCTACTTAAAAAGTTGAGAAAAAATATTAATGGTTCAAAAAAAATGATTGTCATAGTTCTAATATGCTCTTTTTCATTCTTAAGTTTTACATATCAGAACAAATTTTGTTGTAAAAGCTTCAAAAAATGTTAAACATCCCAACTTCATCCAAAAGGTTGCTGGAGGTTGAATTACTGGAAAGTGGAGAGTATAAATTTCATAAATTCTGCTTGATTTTACAATCCAGGATATCATTAAGACACAACAGAACTCGTGGAGCTTCTCGATATAAAAAAACAGCTGACCTTTCATTTTACTGCTTCTTTTGCAAATACCTGAGAAAAGAACTCTGTAGCTTGTTGGAGAGAGAATGACATTATATCATGTTATAATGTCATTCTCTCACCCAAAACATGCATGGTGTTGCTTTGACTCATTCATGCATGTTTGAAAATTCATTGAATCTCCTGTGGTAGCTAGGTGGAGCTGCTGGTACAAAGCATTGCCTATTTACATAAAGCTCCTCTCTGGAGCTCACAACACACACACACACACACACACACACACACACACCTCCCAACACGTTATTTGAGAATATGCTGAGCGAAGTGCGAGTGTCGAAAATGGTAAATACATAAATTCCCACTTTTAAACGATTAAATTCCCTTTCTGTGCCTACATGGTCAAAACACTTTTTCTCATGAAACAAAATAATTGTAAATAAACTTGAATAAATTTTGGGGTGAATTTAGATATACACCAAATCACRTTCTTATCGTAGTGAAGATGTTTGTGCACCTGAATGATCCTGTAAGCTTTGCTGCCAGACGCCTGGTGTCCCTCACCTGGTTGTGAATTATTTGGGTCCCACCCTGAAGCCAAGCATGGGGGAGGGGCTCATTGGCAAGTGCTTGGTGCCTGGACCTCTGCCCATGTGGCCCAGTTGGGCTCAAATGACTCAGTGCTTATCTATACGTGATGTGTGTATCATCAGTGGTGGGCACAATCCCCCTACACTAAAGCACTAACAGGGAAACTAATTTCATTATTAGTGCTTTAGGGCTTTTGTTAATTTTAAAATTTATTAGTGGATTAGCACTTGCTAAATTTATAGGCTAAATTTAGAAGCACTAACTGAGGTCTATAAATGCTAATGATCAATATAATGTTAACAGCTGATGGTGAAAGCTGTCACACATTTTGTTCAAATGTTACTTTTCCATTAGAWGACATGAATCCATGAAAACATTTATTGTCAGTTCCTAGGATCAGAACAAACTTTGGGAAGCACGCGTTTAGCTATGCAGCCCCTTTCACATGGAATAACTTGCAAAGTGATCTGAAACTACAGTTACTCTTACCTATAGGTCAGTTTAAATCAACTTTACATGAGCTTCATCTACCATCTCTGTCCTGTCATTGCTAGCCATATGTTTTATGAATTTGAGTACGCTTTGTGCTATGTTTTAGTTTTTATTTATTTTGTATTTGTTAAATCTTTTGTGATTTATTTTCTATGTTATTTGGATGTGTTGTTTGTATGATGTTTTGTTTCTTCTTTTATCTTTTCCTTATGGGTGTCTGTCTCTGTTTTGCCTGATTAAATAAAGGTTWAATAAAAAATGATAATATATTGACAATATATGAACTCAAATACAGCTGTGGAATGTCAATAAGTCTTAAGAGCAACATGGCAACATATGACTCATGTTGTCTACTGAAGAATGCTCATGGGTTGACTGAGTTATTTTAGTGCTTTAGAATTAGCTTTTGCTAAAACTTTCTGTGCATTACTGATTTAGAATTAGGGGACCTAAATATTTGAGTTAGTGCTTCAGGGCTAGTGGAACTAATTTTTAGAGTAGTGCTGCCCATCACTGTGTATCATAATACTTTATATTAATCTTATGCACTTTTACTGTGATGCAATGTGTGTCTAATAAAAATTGTATAATATGCGAGTTTGTTTGTTTGTTTGTTTTATTAAGAGTGTGAGCTTTTCTCTGTGAGCTCAGACTCGTCAAATGCAACTTTGTAAACTTAGCTCTCAAGTCATTTTATTAAAACTGTATTTATTTTAGATTCATTCAGAGAATTATAAACATCTGAGAGAATAAACCTTYAAGTAAAAAAATGCACCATAAACAACAGGTTAATATAGCTGCAATGTTAAACCTCAAGCAGGTAAATGTGCCAAAAAAGAAAAAAACTAGTTTACCTGCTTTTCTGATGAAAATGTATTTTTCAAGTTGAAAACTACTTTGTATGTTGTAAAWTATTTGGTACAGATTCAGGGACAAATCACTGAGGAAAGAATTTGTCCTCTTTGTGCGTTCATTACATGGAAATCCTGCAAAAGTTCAGTTCAGCTTTGTCTGTCATCTTCAGCTGGCTTCACACCAGCAGCTTCTGATGATCTTCTAGGATGTGAAAGAGTCAGAGTCAGCAGCCTGCAGGGCAGAGGCCCAGGCCTGGTCTGAGGGGGGGTCAGGCAGGATCCAGCTCTGAGGAACCGAGGAACCATCTGGATGATCTGCTGCCACCAGAAACACGTCCCACTCTCTCCTGAAAAACAAACCACAGTCAGGTACGCAGCATTAAAACCAGATAACATCCAGAATCAGATTCAGCATTCTGGTTTGATTTTCATCCACCTCTAACTGTCACTGATTGATAACACCATCACACCATTTCTCATACCACTACAGCTGGTGCCCATTCCAGATGTGCAGCTTTTTGCAAATCAACAAACTAATTAAAAATCAACTAACCGACAGATATTTAATGTTCTCTGTACGCATAATTTATTTTCTTTACTTCAACTACATTGTCCAAGTGGGTGTTTTGAGTTYGTAGCTCACTTCAAGGACCTACGCTCTGATTGGACGGTTTGATTTTCCAGGTCATCAACCAATCAGTAAAAAAAAAGTCACAAGTCTGTAATTTCACAATCGGACAGTTTACAAACAGTGTTTTACGCAGGTTTTCTTTGCAAGGTTCTTTAAGAAATATTCACCAATCTCTGTATTTACTCACTGTTTATTGAAATTTTAGACATCGGTTAAAACAAAAACAAATAAAAATAAATCTATGTAAAAGCATCTGGACTATTTTTTTCTCACTGGGTGTAAAAGCTGGACTATCATTTACAAATGTAAGAAACATCAGTGATGGTTCATTTAAAGGACTCTGATTTGAGCCAACACCTTGTTTCTATATCTCTCTAACTTGAACCAGCTTTTAAAGTGCCCATGACATCAAATTTTTGTAATGAATATGAATGCATTTCTCAAGAGATAACATTGATAACATTTCGCAACAAAAATTTCACAATTCTGAGAYGAACAGTTGTTGAGATATTTGCATGTGAAGTAACAGGAAGTGATGTCAAAGGGGAATATCTGCATGTAAATAGCATATTGCTACAATGGTTAACAGACTGTAGAGAAGAATCTGATGTTTCTTTAGATCATTTTGAGTCACTGTCAGAGAGATGAAGAAGATTCAACGTTCAAATAATATTGTTTCAGTAAACAAAAGATCTGAGTTTTTTTTCATTACGTCTTCCCCTTTGATGTCACTTCCTGTTTCACTTTGGCTGAGCCCAGTTCAAAAGAAAATATACCATTTATGTGACGAAATGGGTAAATTCATGTGTTTTTCCAAGTTTCCTAAAAATAACGATGTTTTCTTTGACTTTTTGTATTTGAAGGATATATGTCACAAGTACTTTAACAACCATACTGATGAACTTCATTCGTTTGTACCTTAAGTTTAAATTTCTAAACAAATTCAACTTCAAGACGAACCTGATTTGTATCAAAGCCTGCAGGGACCGCTCCGCCCGGCTGTAGTACTCGACGAAAGGCTGCAGGAAGCAGTCAGCTGGGAGCTCATCTRCCCAAACAAACAGGAAACCAGTGAGGAGCAGTCCTGTAAGACGCACTGTCCAACAGCCACACTGGACCATCCTTTACCTCCGAACAGCATGGAGTCCACCCTGCGTTTCTTTTCCAGCTGTCTCTCTCTCTCCTTCTTCGCTCGTCTCTCCTGCTCCCTCTTCCTCTCCTCCTCCTGCTCTCCTTCCAGCATCACCATCAGAGCTTTCTCCTCGGCCGAGTAGACCGTCGTTCTTTTCTTCATCACACACCGCAGCTGCTCCAGTCTGCTGCTGAACGCCTCGTCGCACCGCTGCTCCGTGACAATACCTTAAACACACACACACACACACACACACTAAGTCCTGCACCTCCTGTTAATAAAACCTACTCAGACTTTACCAAACAAGATCACCTGACCAACTTTACTTCTCAATAGGAATGCGTGATATAGGGTTGGGCAATATAGCCAAAAAAATAAAATTAATCATGATTAATTGTGTATTTAGCCAATAACGATTAATCCCCAGTAGTCCCTGGAGGCTCTCATCCCCTAGTTGTAAGACCAATTTAAATCACTCTAGTGGGAAATGCCCTTTGTAAAAATCTGTTCCAAATTGTGTCAAAAGTACAGACTTCAGGCTAAACATCAAGTTTTAAATTGTGTTGATAATCCAAGTAAAAACCAGTTATGATAAATAAATTGCAGAACTTTTTAAAAATTTTTCATCATATCTGAAGTGGAGAGGAGCACCGAGTGGACTGACCGAGGAAATCTCCAGTCAGTCTGCCTGGTGGCATTAATCCTATTAATCGTCAAGTGCCAAAAAATAATCGATTAATGCTTTTCTGACGATTAATTGCACACGATACACTTTTGCCCAACCCTAGCATGATATAAACGATATACAGTAGAAACGATATAAATGTGGCCTATGGTAGAGATCGGTAGTCTACAGGCCAACCGCAGTAATTCTTTCTGATGACGTAACCGGCKGGAGTCAAAACAGAGGAAGTGGGAAGCAGCGTGTCTGAGAGCGCAAATGAAGAGCAAAAAAGTTGCAAAACAAATTATCTGGACCTGGTTCGTGTGTGCGAAAATGAACGCCGAACTGTTTACATATTTCGTCGTCCGGACGGCTTCCGAGCRACCTCACTGCCTGCAGGCGGGAGGAGTGCGGCACATGTCACGGTCGGACAGCGAGGCGACAGTGCAGGTGAAGTCAGTGCGAACTCCAGTGGGACGCACAAAAGCTCGCTGAGTCTAACGGACCTCATTTCTTCTGCTGTCTCAAGTCGTACAGCAGGGGAGCACTGTGGGAAAGGGTGACAGCCTGACTGTCTTTCAAAACAAAACAAAAAAACAACCTGTAAAGTATAAACGGGATGATTGTCACCCCGCCGGAGCGCGCACAGATTAAACACGTGGAGTGCAGAAAAAGTAATCTGCAAAGTGTGTAGAAAGGAATAAACACAAGCAATTTGTTTTACCACCTTAAAAACGAAGCAGGTGATTCAAACACAACATCCAATAGATGCAGATATTTATCACATTAAAGTTATTCTATGTGTGTGTGTGCAGGTAGGTCTCCCTTAAATTTAGATTTTTAAGGGAGACTTTAAAGTTTCCCTTAAAAAGGAGATTTTAAGGTCTATTTTTTTAACTTATACATATACATTCCACTCAATTARTATGTGATTTATTTATTTTCTATTATAAGTTTTATATCATGATATATTTACCGCCTCCCATCATAATGTATTTTGTGATATGAATTTTTTTTGCCATATCGCACATTCCTACTTCTCAAATAATCATTCTTAGATGAAACTAATTATTAAATCACATCTTGACAGCACTACTGTTTTCCAACCTTTTTTTAAACTACAAAAGGTGTTGTAGGCCTATAATGCAGGAGTAGATGTATAATAACAGAGTCAGTGAGACTAAACATCAAACATGCTCCCTTCAGACAGTCTGTCTGCACTCAAATAAAAGCTAAAGTGAATGTAGGACTTTAATTTGTTTTGCTTTGGTTGTAGAGCAGTTATACTGTGCTCTGATTTGAGACAGTAAAAAAAACAAAGACGGACACCTTGGCCATTTGATGCATACACAGAAACTTTAACTGTGTTTTTCCTCACTACTAAAACTTTTTAATTCTCTTTTCATTGACACGAAGCCTGTTGTGTTTTGTAAAAAAAAAAAAAAAAAAAAAAAAAAAAAAAA